AAAGAGTATACTCTAGAGACCCAGACTTCTTTGCCGTTGAAGGAAGTCTGTGAACTTTTCTCAGTCTTTACAGCTTACTATTTGCTTATGCTTTGTGTATTTTTCAATATTGAGTTTATCCTGCAATATTATTTCCCACTCGATCATTACATTTTGATGGGGTTTCTGAACATTGTTTATGGAACTTTCATGCCTGCATTCGTCACTGGGCCAGCTAATATATTCACGTCTAAAGGAAACAAAGTTAGAAACGAAGGTAGCCTGCGAGAAAGTTCCTTGGAGGAAGAAGGGGTGCACGTGAGGAGGGACTTCGAACGTGTGGAGTACCTGTTGTCGCTCCACATTTAGCTGAGCTGTCAGATTTTCGCCAATGTTTACGTGCAACCGGACACGACATGAACATCTTGGCCCAACAATGTTGCAAAAACAACACGCAACAACATGGAACAGGGTGTGCACATGGACGCAACATGTAACATCCAACAATGTTGCGTCTGTTGTCACGGGGCTTTAAAAAACTAAAATTAAGGAAGTTAGACGAAACGTTTTAGTTGTTGTTAAGGCGCAAATTCGAAATAAAGTTACCACAAGTATCATCGCTTTTTTCCTGGTTAATCCACGATGTTCGGTGGCGTTTTTGGTAATATTTTTTTGTAATTGTAATTTGTTTGCCCACGAAACACTAAGGAGTTCATAAGAACTCGTTGAAACGTGTCCGTGCGTTCCAGATCCAATTGGAATTTGAAGGTGTTAGTTTTTAAGGAGAGGGGAAAACCGGAGTACCCGGAGAAAAACCTCTCGGAGCAAGGGAGAGAACCAACAACAAACTCAACCCACATATGGCGTCGACGCCAGGATTCGAACCTGGGCCACATTGGTGGGAGGCGAGTGCTCTCACCACTGCGCCACCCTTTTATTTACGGTTTCCTTGGCAGCAATATTTCACAGTTTATAATAAACTACTAAGGCCAAGGCCAAACGTCGAACTTTTCATCAGATGAACCAAACTTAGTGAGTTAAGTTCATGAAAAGTTCGACGTCTGGCTCAGTTAAGTTCGTCTGAATGAGTTTGGATCGTCCCAACACGTTCTATCCATCGGCGTCAGACGGAGAGAATTTCTAAAGATCGTCTCCAGGACAAACGTCTATCTTCACATGCGACGAACTAAACTTATATATTAAAAATTTGTGTGATAATGTATATTTAGCCTCGCTCATTCGGGAGAAAATTTACTTCTTATCTGATCCAGTTGGTTGGTTCGACGGGTCCTAAGCTCCACGTCTGACACAACAGACGATCTTAACTTAATTTTGGTCGACCCAAATGACAGTTTGGATCGTCTCATGAAAAGTTCGACGTTTGGCCTAGGCCTAAGAGGTATTACCATAAACTTCAAGCTGCATTTCCAGGAACTCCTTCGTTAACTGCAAAGTTGAAAGAGCGCGAAAAAAATGCGAATTTGGCCAACAACAGTCTTTTCTTATACCATTCTTGATTGTAGCTCATTACGCAGAGTCCACCTCTATATTTCGGGTCGATCGTATTTTCATTAAATAAAAAAATTAAACTTCATTGATTTCTGATGTTTCGAATTTGAATGACAAGAGACTGAATTCCCCAACAACGAAGACGTTTGATTTTCAACAAAGTCTTCGGCAGTTGACAATCTTGCACTAGTCTCAGCTATATCTTTCTCTTCTCGTGTGGTAATGGTATGTTTACCCTTCTTTGATTGTAGTCTTCCTCGACATAATTTTTGCTTCTCTTTTTTTCGGAGAGCTTTTTCTTTACACTCCTTCCAGCGTTTGCTGTCATAAATGTGAATCCTATTACGCAATGTAAATCTCTTCGATTCACTTCTCGGCAATACAAGCTTTATGTCTGTCTCATGTTTCTTTGTTATTTTTCTGCTCTTTTCTTCTGTGGCTGGTAATTCTGTTATTTCCTTGTTTAAATCGACAACATTATCCTTTCGTGCAAAACAATCTTCAGCTAACGTTTGCACCTTTGAGGCTATGTTGGTGTTTTCACCAACTAATTTTCGTTTGAGGATAACAGTCTGATCTTCAGCAGACTTGGGCAGCTTTGTAGCTATCTGGGTGATTTCAGTATCTAATTTTCGTTTAAGGGCGACATCCTGTTCTTCAGCTAACTCGTGAACGTTTGTAGCTATCTCGGTGTCTTCAGCAACTAATTTTTGTTTAAGGGTAACATTCTGATCTCCAGCTAACTCGTGCAGCTTTTTAGCTATCTCGGTGTTTTCAGCAAATAATTTTCGTTCGAGGTTGACATTCTGATCTCCAGCTGACTCTTGCAGCTTTTTAGCTATCGCGGTGTTTTCAGCAACTAATTTTCGTTTAAAGGTGATATTTTGTTCTCCAACCTGCGCATCAGAATCCTATAGCAGAGATGCGAATTGTCAGAATTCCTCGTCAATAATGGCGGGAAAAATAGGCCCTCTGAAGGTGGTCAGTCATGTGGTACAATACCTCCATGACGGAAAGCAAGACACGCCCCAGTGCGTATCTGTACCACGTGACTGACCACCTGCAACGAGCCTGTCCTAGTAACCTCTCCATTTCTGGCGAGCTAAGCGAGCCTCGAGGGGCGGAAGATTTCTTTCCACGCTTCTCGCTCTCGCGTCTCCTTTCGCGTGTCGCTCTCGCATGACTTCTCGCGACGTCCCCAAATGGATAGCCTGCGTAGCTGGCAGTATTGCATGGTAGTCGAGTAAGTTTTGGCGGCGGAGCCGTTGTAATATAGTCGAGTGAGATTTGACGGCGGAGCCGTCACGAGCGGCGACCAAACTTTAATCTCGCACCCACACAATACCGCCAGCTACGCAGGCTACCAAATGGAAAGCTTGTTCGCGGGCTTAGGCCTATTAACTGGACTCGTACAGCTGAAACACGCAGTTGAACTTTACTACCGTCAAATACCTGTAGATTACAGAAAATTCGTTTTAAAAAAAGAGGAGCATTTTATAGTTTAATATATACTTTTTCAAGAATTAACAACATAGTGAATAAGATTTGCTGCTTAAGTAATAGCAATATTTTCAGGTGAAACTCCTTTTCCAAGAAGAATAATTTCAAGGTGTTTCTGCCCTTGTAGCATAACGTATGGCTAGAAATAGAACTTGTTAGTAGCAACTTGATTACGAAATTTTTGTTAACTTTCCGTATGATTTTAAGTCTGGATAATAATAAAATTCGAGCAATTTCTCCTTGTCTTTTTCTGCTGGTAGTTAATTTTTAAGTTGACCCGGATGAGTGTCTATTCACTTGTCGTTCTTGACCTCTTACACGGTGTCTCACTCTCCTTCAAATCAGCGTCATTTCTAATAAAGGCTGGGTACCGGAACGAGGAGGAACTGTCGAGACTTGGGGAATCAACCAAAAAAGAATTTATTTGAAGGCCAGGGATATTGATCAGAGAGGAATAAATGCGTCACATCATCATACCTCTGGGCCAAGTGTGAATCGTTCATAATACTACCGAAATCAGTAGCTATTAACAACCCGGAAAAACCCGATCGTCCGTGAACAAACGCATACATTTCAAGCCAACTGAAACATTTCAGTATACACACTTCTCCCCATGATCTTGACACACATTAGGGCTCAAAAAGAATCTATCAAGTGCAAAGGCGAAGCTGCGGTTATTCAATTCGAATATGGGGAGGCTCCGCAACGAAGTTTAACCCCTTGACCTTTTATCCGGGCTTTTATATCATTTTTGAAAGAAAAGGTACCCCTTTCATATCCCTTTTATTGCCAAATGGTTCCCCTTTCGCAAGCCTAGTTTAGAACTTAAAATTTGCATCCCTTTTAACTGCAGTAAATGCACTGTCTTAAAAAAATGCATAAATCACAAAGCCAGGCGTTTTGTCGACTTTGTCACAGTCTTAAAAGCATTTGTTAGCCCTTTTGGGCCTTTTTACCAACCTGCTCGGCCTTACCGAGGGCACTAATGCATAAAAGCCATGATAGGTGTCACCCTGGCGTTTATCTATCGAGCTGAACCCAACAAAGAAGGAGTTAGCAGAAATATACGGCTCGCATCCTGTTATTAAAAATTCGATTGGTCAACTGTAGCTTGGTAAGCCACAAAATAACAAAAACTTACTGTTGGTGATAAGCCCGTGTGGCAGGCGTTCGAAAGGGAAGGAAAAGGGGAATCTGGGCTCGAGGAAGTCGAGGAAGGAGGGCACGTCCAGCCTGCCACGCAGGCCCGGCACGCAGGCTAGTTGGCAATTCGCCTGTTTATTTATACGTGTTCTGTTAAAAAAAAAAAATAATAATAATAAATGCGCCTTATTCGAGCGCCAGTTTCAGTGTATTTGTCACGAAAGTACTAAAATTGAGGACATTTCTCTTTGATTTATATGTGCTCATTTCCATAGCCAATGTACAGACGCCCCCTCCTCTCAAAAAAAAAAACTATCGGGGAGAGAGCCTGGACGCTCAAATTTTTTTCCAGGAGAGGGGGCCTCTGTACACTGGCTATTATTAGGGACTTTAAGATGCCACGATGGTTACGACAACGAGAACGTCAAAAAAGCAATAGGTTGAATAGCAAAACAACTCTGCACGCTTTTTGTACATTTCTCAGTTTCCGTCACTTCACGACTACGACGGGAAAATACCTAATTTCACGTTTTACGGGAGGACGTAAACAGACGAGAGCTAAAGTTTCTTTCTCTTTCTAAACTTGAATATGAGTAAATGAGTTGGAGTAATTGGGACAGAGATTGCAAGCACCCAAACTCACTTTTCAAGCAACATTTTCGTGGCCGTCGCCGTCGCCGTCGTCGTATCTTAAACTCCCTATTTTCTAGTGAAGAACGGTGTACGTGACTCTGAAACTTTGACTAGTGCAACACGAGAATGTAAGAATAACTGAAGGTAGGTCAAAATCCAGGGTAGCTTCACGTCAGTTGTCATATCAACCATGTATTTTCCGACAAAGATAAATTTATGCTGGCAACTTTCCCACAAACGTTCGTCTTTGTGTGGCTGTGAAAGAGAGAGATTGTGGAGCTGAAGAAATGAAACCGTTAAACACCTCAAGATCTCATCGACTCCTTGATTTTGTTCCATCTGTTAGGCCATCGTTTCTTTCTGTGATTTTAGTGTTTGTTTGCGGATGCCTCTGGGTGAAGAATACGACAATCAACGAACGACTTGTCGAGCTGGAATCTCGCACTTACTGTTTTTCCTGCGTTAAGACTATTTCTATCGAAAATCTTGACAAGATGACTCTCTCGCCGGCAAAAGATACCGCAAAAGATCTTTACAAGAATATGCAGACACATGTTTCAGAAGTTATCGCCTCTAACTCAGGTAAAATCGATGCTTTAGGTATGATTATCCTATCTCATAGATGTCGTAGTTTGACTGAGATAAACTTCCGCTATTACGGACTCTCGCTAAAGAGGACACTAACTCGAGGTCCCTACAGTGTTCTCCCTAAATTTTAGGTCAGCGGGTAAGGGATCATTCGTGCCCGAGAAGTTGCACTTTCCTGGGGAGGAATGGGGCTAGTGGAGTGAGAGACATGGCCTCACCCTGGGAGAAGCCGAGTTCTTTGAAACGTCATTCCCTCATTTTAAGACCTCTTTTACGCAAATCGGCCGTTGATATCTTTAGACAACAACTTAAAACGTTTGATCCCAATAATTTTACTCTGTATTCACTGTTTTCTTTCCAAAATGCGTGGCCCATAAAAAGAAAAGCTGTGAATACTTAAGCACTTTTCCATATATTCCTTCATCGGATCGGATCGCACCTTGCGTATTTTTTAAAACTACTTATTTCATTTTAGTAAACCTTCAAGCGGTTGCTGGCGGTAAGAAGTGTTGCTTCAGGCGGTAAATTGTACCGGTTACCGTCTGATAAGGAGAACACTGATTTAGGTAGTTGACTGTAATTCGCCGCTTTTGAAACAAGAAACGATTGGTATTATCTTTAACAGAGACATTTATTTCCTCAATGTATCCCTCCCCCAACCCCTCTGCCCCTGGCAAAATATAGCGTGACAGTATAACGTGACTGATATAATTTAGCCAGAAATTCCAAAAATTATTGTCGTTCTATGCTAATAAAACAAGACAGGGTCAATTTTGGTGTTTAAAATACTGTTCAATAACAGTAACTCTCTGTTCCCTAAAAACTCGCAAAGAAAATTAAGTTTCAGTTTTCACATTTTTGTCAGATATTGCATTTAAAGCCCTTCTAACTATCCAAGTGAATATGTTTCTATTTGACGGGGCGATCTACAAATAGCATTCCTTTCTTGTCATCTTGTAAGGAAAGACTTTTCACTCGCAGGGAGAGTATTCCATCAAATTGAAGCTTTTCCGTGGGAGGGGAGGGGACCGTGGGAGGGCATTTTTTTTGCTCCAGCGCAGGCTAACAACATCATCAACTACTGTATCTAGATAATCATTGGGCGTAGATATAGGGGGAAAAATAACTCCACGCAATTTGTTTTGTTGGCTCCAATTCGACTTCCATTTCTGTTTGCAAGACGACCTGAAATTACCGATCCCCTCCCTGCAAATATCGGCCCCATTGAAGAGAGAGTAGGACGCAAAGCCTTCTGGGAGATCCATCGGCCATTTTGTCTTTTTTTGACACAGATTCGACCCATTTCTTGATTGGGCGTTGCCCTCACGGGCAGCACAATAATAACAGAAGTGCCTATTGTTTATGCCTTGTTCTGTCTTTCTTTCTTGATATAAGACGGTGATAAGAGGCCTTACGATCACAATAACAATATAACAATCCAAAAAGAAATGCGAAGTAATTCACACGAAGAGCTACGAAGTAATTACAAACTAGAAACCTCTCCTTGAGGATTGTCTGAACGAAGAGAGGAGAAACTATTGGTCTAATTAAGCGGCATTAAACCGATAGTTTCTCCTCTTTTCGTTCACGACAATCCTCAAGGAGAGGTGTTTTTTTTTCAAGTTTTCTTTACGGTAATATATAGTACTTCTAGTTTGCAATTACTTCGTGTGAATTACTTCGCAATTCTCTTTGGATTTTTATTGTGATCATAAGGCCTCTTATCATTGTCTTATATTAAGTAAAAAGCATTGGAGTTAATTTTTTGATGCACCAAAGAATTTATCGCGGGTCTTAATGACCCCTTTTCCTTCCCTTTCGGACGCCTACCACGTGGGTTAGGTCCAGGTTAGGTCTAACAAAAAATAGTTTACTTTAAAGCTTTTTGGGCTGTTATTGTGAGACAGAATATTGAATGATGGAGACAGCAATGCCTGCTTAATCTGTACAATTTAATTAAGGATTGACTGCAAAGGATAAAGTTTCAAAAGTTAGTGTGCTGTAAGGACCTGTAAGTGGGCCAAAACTTAGCCTAAGAGAGTCTCCGTGGGAAGCTTGTATTGAGTGGAAAATGAGACTGTGTAATAGCGAGTAGGAAAAAATACCACCCCACCCCGCTAAGGATACAATTGTAACTTAAGGAATGATGATGGGTAATAGAACGCACGAGGTCTGTCTTGTTGTGCGAGTCCCGCTCCATATTGGTGTTTTGTCTCGTAGTTTTGCAATGGGAAAATAGCGCCCACCTGTCCCCGGCCAGTAACAATAGGCACAAGTTGAATGAAGAGCGAATGAGCTTCTCTTGCTTGAATACAGTAATTTGTTGTCTAAAACATGTGCCAAAACAGGATTCATAGAAAGAGGGGCAGTAATAACGCACTAATTTCCACAAGAACATTCTGAATGAAAAAAAAAAAAAAAAAAAAAAAAAAAACTACCACCTACCCGACATTGATCAGTAGGTCTTGTTCTATCAAAATCCGCTATCAAACCTTTTCTGACCCGATCATTGTACGAAACCCCTCTTTCAGGGTCCTGGCTTCCGGACTAGAAAAGAAGAAGGAGGATTGTTGACCTCGTTTTCCTGGTTTAGACGTACTTTGTTTCTTTTGCTTCAATTATCCATTGGCACATCTCCCATAATACACCTTGTTTGCCCTCTAAAATTTTGCATAACCTTGGCCTTTAATTTCTCCTGGGTATTACAGTCGTTACAAGGGAAATTGAAGACAATCTTTACGCAAAAAATTTTGTGGGGCAAAACAAGGTGTACGCGTTGCACGTTTTATCGGCTCAAGGCAAGCTTGTTTTACAGCAAGTGACGCAACCTCCGTGAATGGCGTCACCTCCGGGTAATTTTATTCCATCAAACAAATTGATCGTGGGTGATAAAATGCGCGACATCGCTTTTCAACTCTTGTTGCAGCAATGTTTCGAAACAGGTTGCACCGTTTTGTTGCTTGTTTTATCGTAGCTTTAGACCCGGTGTTCCTTTCTCGTAAACACTTCCATTAATGGAAGGGATCGTGTCATTTCCACTCATGCTATGCTGGTGTCAGTAACTGACCTAATAACTTGGTTTTAATTTCGAAGGAACCTTCTAATACGTACAACCTTGTTAAATTTATTTGTTTATTAATCAAATCAGTTATTATAATTTATATATAACATTTTTGACTGCAGTTGTACCGTTGTCAAAAATGGCATTTACAACCGTCCGACCAAGAAACCGAAGACACGTTTTAAACGACACTTCAGCTAGTATAACATTACAAGACGTGAGGAAAGAAATCACAAAACAGTTTCAACAACTGATGCCCCTCAAGTACTGTACATCAAGTGAGAAAGTGTGCCCCGCAGGTCCCCCTGGACTTCCTGGTCCCACTGGGGCAAAAGGACCCCGTGGTAGGAGGGGACCAAAGGGGAAAAGGGGGCCTCAAGGTCCCATGGGACCACCTGGAAAATCCGGAAAAACAGGAATGACGGGTCCTGCAGGGCCGAGAGGAGAAAAGGGAGACAAGGGAGAGCCTGGGCCGAAAGGCATGCCGGGACCACCAGGAATACCTGGGAAATCGATATCTGCTCCACAAGTAATGTTGTCGCCGCCAGAACAGACACGAGATGAAGGAACAAATACGGCTTTTTATTGCACAATTGGAGGAAATCCTCCCCCTGCCGTCGAATGGCGATTCAAGGGCAGAAAGCTTCTGCCAAGTGCAAAGTATCTGATTAAAAAGGGAGAGTTGATCGTTAAGAATCTGAACTACAGCGATGCTGGGCAGTACACATGTCACGCCAGGAACATTCTTGGATCGTCTGAGGCCAATTGCAATTTATCTGTTCAAGGTAAGATCAGAGAATAATAGAAACTTCAGGATTTTTCATACTCAGCTGCTTAGTGATGAATATATTTATGCCTATAAAGGGCGTTGACTGGGCCACACCCTTGTTTGAGATTTTGCTAGTAAATTTTTTTCTCTTTCATTTGTTTGTTTTTGCTTGCTTTTTTATTCATTTTTCGTCTCACTTAAATAATTTGTACAAACATCAATTATTATATAGTATGTACTTAAGTTGCGTCGTCCAAAAACTCGCAATTGTTTTCTGTTTGTCGTTATACATTTCACATTCAGTATTCATCTTCTGTCAGGTCTTCCAGTCTTCACAAAAGTTCCACCTTCACCCGCCACGCCAGCACAACGCAGTACCTTTCAAGCAGTTTGTCAAGCTGAAGGTTTCCCTCGTCCTGCAATCAACTGGAGAAGAGTTGGAATATCCTTGCCAGCTGGAAGAACTGAAGTAAACCGAGGTATATTAACCATTAAGAACATGATTCTTGCTGACAGTGGTTTGTACGAGTGCATTGCAACGAACACAATGGGAACAAAGAAGGTCAGAATCAACGTGGTAGTGCAACGAAAGCCCGGTGAGCTCTTACTACCTTATTAGTACTTAATTTCGTGATTTTTTCACAATCGCAAAAAACACGAAATGATTTCGCGATTGTGAAAAAATCACAAAATTATAGACCCTTGCTGAATAAAAGTCCCTGCGAAATTTAAACGCGGAAAATTGAACGCCAATTTAGAAAATTCAAATCACAGAAAAAAAAGAATAACATTTAATAAGTACAACATACACTTTACACGATACATGTGTTGACAAATACCCACAAGTTTTTAGCTGGTTTTATTGGTACGTTCCATTCCGTGATAGTGTCTTCTGTTGTGATATAACGTTAATATGCGTTTTGCTTGTTTTATATTATCTAGATATGTAAAAAAACTCAGAAGATTGAAAGCTAAAATAAAGTTGAGAAAGCTTGAATCGCGAAATTTAATGCCCCTTTTCATGTTTGCCCATAGGAAATAGCGAAAATAAAACCCCGCGATCGAAATACTGTCTTATCAAAATAGCGTAATTAAGTATCTGCGATAAGAGATCGTTCTGGTAGAGACCTGCATCACGTTATTTTGTATCACCGATGAACTAAACTTCATTATAACATAGCTAGAATATTAATCAGGAAGCTAGAGCTGCTCATAGCTGCGCCGCGAGCAACTCTTACGCCTCCTTCGTGCTCTCCAAACTATATTTTGACATACGCATATGAAGATTGTCACCTAATGACGTCATACATTTTGCAATATTGTCCGCCCAGAGACTTTAAAGGCCGGAAAACGGTTTTATTGTTAGGTATTGTTAGTTGTCATGTCTCCTTGATAAGTACATGCTTAGTTACTAGTGACTTGACTTTTCTAAGTATACACGAGAGCCTTAAACAAATTCCTAAACTATTTTGTCCGTTATATTCTTTTTGATTTCGTTTTGCATTATTTTTCCACTTCGACTTCTAAGAAGTCCGAATGGAAGTTAAAACTAGGGTTGTACAGTTTTGTTTACAAAGTTGCTTCTGGAAATGTTGGCAGAATGAAAAGTTTTGCTTGTCGCTTTCCGCTTTATTTTCGGCTGGAAAATGTGGAGGCCATACATGCCTGTTGTTGCCTGTTGTTGCATACTACAGAATATGCAACGGGTTTCTAGCTTTCTGATTGGCTTTAACTTTATGACATGGAATAAATGCTATGTGGGGCTTCTGCCGTGCCATATCCCCGAGCGCAATAAATAAGGTTTAGATCAGTTATTGCCTTCTTGTGTGCTAATCCTTGGCTAATACCGTTGAAAAGTCACTATACTCAATGTTGACATTCATCACAGCTTTTAGTTTTGAGAAAGTTTTCTCATGATCGGCCTGTTCTGATCGCGTCATTTTTAATCGTGCCTTGGTGGTCTATTTTTGTTCAGATTTAGAAGACTCCGTTATTGTGGGAAACAGCAGAAACTACTTGAGGATTTTAAGAAGCTGGCTGTCCCCTGTGGCACGAAGCGTGAATTCCGCCTGGAAGCACTGTTGGCGTGCATCTGTGGATGGCTGGGCTGCAAGTACATTTCACTCCCGATGTGATGGCAAGGGACCAACTGTAACAATAATAAGGGTCGGAAGATATATTTTTGGAGGATACACCAGTGTTTCATGGGGTAAGTGGACATTATGAACAGGGATAATTTTTACTACGGTTACTAACTTTGTTATAAAGCTAAAAACAAAGTTATATATATTACGGAGTATGAAAATAACGCAGCCTTTGGATACACTGATAAAAAGCGTTGTTTTTATGGATCTTGTTCTAGCCGTGCTCCACCTCTTTCCTTCGCATCCCATCCCCATTCTCCCTCCAAGTGCGACGATATATTTATATTTAAAGCGTAGACTGAATATTTTCTGAAATGACAGAGTTGATTGTAGACTAAATCATTCAAGGATCCATCCTCGGAGACCCAGGGGCAGTTAGTCGGGTCGATAAAATGTTCGTGGTGAAAAACATTTTATCGACCCGACTAACTGCCCCTGGGTCTCCGAGGATGTCAAGGATCCGGTCCAGTCGGTGAGTCCTTGACAGTGCTTAGACATGTAACTGAGGGCGCTTACTGTTTTCAATTTCTTACCTGTTTCATTCTCAAAATGACCGGTTCCAGTGATCATTTTTTTGTTGGTGATCGCCCATATTATGGCACTGACCTCTTTAGGGAGGTATTAAAAAGTCAATTTTTATCCTGTGTATTTGAGACAGAGAAAAGATTACAAATTTAGATAACTTTCAAATCAAAAGGAGTATTACGATGGAAAGATTAGGAATATCTTTAAAAAACCTAAAATCGATGGAAAGAGGATAACCTGAGATCAGGCTCAATTTTCGTTTTGCTTTGTAATAACATTCTGGCGGGCAAGGCGAAACGAAAACAGAGCAGGCCCAATTTTAGGACTACCGACAGGAAAAATATAACCGACTACCGACATGGCTGATATTATCAATATTTGTTTCCAGAAAAAAGAGCATTTTGCATTTTTTTCTAGGAAGAAAGTAACCTCTTTAAATTTATGACTCATCAGATGGCCTAACGGAAAGAATTTCCTTTTTTTTTTTTTTGATACAGGTACATTGCTAAAGCCAATCAAAAAAATATCAAATCGCAAAGTCACACCTTAAAGATGCTACCGACTTTATGAATTTTATTGAAACGACAAAGGTGAAAAAACCGAACGTTTCTTGTTTCGGTCCGAGAAATGCATAGGCGTACGGGCCGGGGGGGCGAGGGGGGCTGCAGCCCCCCCAAATTTTGGGCAACTGAGATTTTTGGGCAGCGAGAGAAACTTTGGGCAAAGCCAGTTTTTAAAGACGTCTCCATGTTTATTTAATTATTTTAAAGACCTGAATATTAACCTGAAGTCGGCGTAATAATCCAGTTACATTACAGTGGATGCCTAGCATGTGATGAATAATTTACATATTTGCAGTTTTTTGTTGGGCACTATACTGCACTGCACTAGCTGGAATGGGTTATTTCCAGTCGTGAATTGATTAAAAGAAACTTTCGCATAACTTTCTAGAATCATCTCCACTCGAAGAACAGAGTATGGCAGATAGCATTTAGCAATGGGTATGAAAATGAAGAAGTGGCTGACTAATTCTCAGTTTGAATTACGAGAAGAATCTTAATTCTTTTAAAAAATCTATCGAACGGTTTAAAATTATTCGCTAATTTGTCAAAGTAGACCGAAATGTTTACAAAACCGCTAACAAGAGTGTCTCGATACATACTAATCAAATCCTTCTTTCGATTCTAGCAATCAAGCAGAGCTATGTCCATGATCTTTCACACATGTTTTTATAAAGATTAAAACTACTATGAGGTGAAATTGCAGGTCAAAAGCGCTTCGTTTTCTATAGATAACGGCCAAAAATCAAGATTTTCCTTTTCTTACCGTATTTCTAATAATAAAAACTTCATTCCAAAATATCTCGATAACGCTCTTAACTTGCTTAAGGTTTTGCTTAAACTTCACGAACATCGAGGCGACTGTATTGGAGAAAAAAGCTCCTGTGAACGATTTTGTAAGGTTCCTGTGCCGGGAATCATTGCGGAAGTAAAATAGGTAATTGAAGGGGGGCATTTCGTTGCTATGACAACTCCGATGTCATTGCAACCCTGATGATGACAAATTTTCATCTTAAAACAACTGTGGTCGCAATTTTTCCAAATGTTTGTTTATGGCGACGTAGTTTATGCTCAGACTTCGTATTGACCCTGAAAAACCGTATCGAGCCCCCTTCATATGCCAGGACGGCCTATGTTGTTGCAATATGGGTCTCATTTCTTTTCGACTCTTTCGTAAAAATTTGGGCAACTTGCGTGATTTTTTTGGGCAAATGGTTTACCGCCCCCCCTGGCAAAAAATGTCCCGTACGCCTATGTGCTTAGATTAATCCTCAAAGAAAATTCTCTCCCGTTTAATGGAAAGCACTATCAGTACAGATCCACGGTACCGCGATGGGCACAAAGACAGCAGTTTCCTTTCCAACATTTTCATGGCATATATTGAAATACAAAGTTTAATTAAGCAAAAACCGTCTTTAAGCCATTAAGCCAACTGTTTGAAAACGCTACATATATGACAATGACATTTTTTCCCTATATGGGACATAAGTAAACCAGACATCGTAGCTTTCTTCGCGGAACAAGTAAACTTACATCACCCTACTATGAAATTCACGGCCGTAATATCTGAAAATGAGACATTCTTTTCAGAAATAGTTGTATAACAAGGCACAACATTCAACGAAAAATGAGAAAAAGCTATCCTTGATGTAAAGACGCATTTTAAACGGAAACCTTACAGTATATACATTTTTCACCTCTTATCATCCACCAACTGTTAATTAAAAGCGCTTGCTGCACAAACGAGAAGCCTTGAGAATCCTACGAACAAACTCCTCTGAGGACTAAGTATTTCAGATTTCAAAAGCGCTTGATGGACAGAGGCTAGCCACACAATTTTCAGGGAAAGAAAAATTGCTATTAGAAGTAAAACTCACAGAAAGAAAGCCAGCTCTCCTGAAACAGAACAACAAGGAAGAAAAAGAAATATCGCCTTTCGTGACTCAATACCAGCCCTTAGTGTCTATTATAAAAGAAGCTTTAATGAAAAAGTGGAATCTCATACAAAACCAACCACTACCTTGACAAAATTTTAAAGAACCACCTAAAGTGCTATATCTCTGAGAAACGAAAATTATGATGGCAAAGGACATGCTTGTTAGAGCCAAAACATAAGAGGAATAGATGTGCAGCCTGTCACCCCTTCCAGTTTTTCACTAAAAAGTATCCAAAAGGCTAGAGTCCATTGATTAATTAATTACTTTTTACTGTGCCCTGTAGTCTACCGGGAAACCAAGTTCGCATTTACAATAAAAGCTTTGGTGATTTTATCAAAATTCATCATATTCATTTGGCAAACAATGGTGAAATAAACGATCATGTAGCATAAACAAACAAGACGGTTAATGAAGTTAAAGTGCAATCAAATGATGCATTCTTACAAGTTTTACTTTTTCCTTAGGGATCAAAGTCTCAAAAAGTGGGTGAAATACTTAAAAAATATTAATAATCAACAAGCGTTTTTACTTATTCACTGAGATTTTCCCACGATCGACAAGAATCGAAACGTTTAACCGACTACCGACAAAGATCGAAAATTTAAACCGACTACCGACAAAGTTACTGAATTTTAACCGACAACCGACAAGTGGACCCCCCCATTCAGACCCTCTTTTAGCGGTAGCCGTTAGAGAGAATGTATGAGAACCGCTAAAATTGGGCCTGATCAGAGGTTGGAAAGAGGATTAGGGGCATCGCGAAATTACTAGATTCAAACAAACTTTGGAAGGGTGAAAAATATAATTTAACTGACCACAGATTAAAAGGCTGAGCTCTAGAAAAAAGGAGTGGGGTTCTCAATCGCAATGGAGTAGGAGTCGTAATCGGAGACACAAGTGATAGGCAGCTATGACCTTGTAAACAACAAAAATCGAAGCTATGAGGGTGACGGATTCAACTGACTCCTCACTACGCCTACAACTTAGAAAATGTACATAAATGTAAATGGTGGTGAGGCATTTTCATCGGTTGTGCGTTTATTATTTCTTATATTTTGATAACCGTGATTGCAGAGTTAAGAGTTGCTTTGTTTGGTTTTGACAAATAAAAAATGTTAACTACAACTCAAAAAAGTTTATTTAAGGAAGGTAAATATATCAGCAAACATTTATTTCGTGTGTCACTCTCGGTACATGGCAGATGGTTTCGCAAGTGAGTATCAGATAGGGTGGCGTCGCTAGTGACAGCTGGTTTTCCATTTCTTTTCTCTCTGACAGATTCCAGCAGTAAGTATCAGTACGACTCCAAAGCATTTCTGTTTTCACTGGTGAACAGGCCAGGATGGGCACCTGTTAAACTGCCTCAAACAGGAAGATATAGTTCTTCCAGAGCACATTCCGTACTTTTTGGTTCATCGTATGGTCCCACATTCGGTGTAGGAAATGACATTCATATTTCCAACTCCGCATCATCCAATAGCGTTTCATACAGCAACCTTGGCTATACTTACAGTCCACCGAGTGGGTACAGCTACAGCAGCACCTTCGCCCAAACATTCCTGGCAGGAACTTACAACTTCACACCAGACGAAGTAGAAACCTTTTACGAGTCAAACTAAAAGAAATAATTAACAATAGGCCACATCGATTTTGATGATAATTCCGATAGTCTGCAATGTAATTATGTCGTTAAAAAGAATTTACTTAAAACTTGTCCTGTATTAGTATGCGTGAGAAACGATAAATCGCTTAAAAAAAAAAAAGTTTACAAACAAAGCAAAAGTCTTTTTCTATAGTGAAACCTAAAGCAAATATACCAGAACCGGTTCATCCAAAAAGAACACGACCTATCCTTATATGTAATAAACGTCTTTTCACTGGTTGACCATTAAACACTCGCCACATGTTCGCCTGCAGGGTGGGCCTATTTTTGATTTCGTTCTCGATTTTTTTAAACAAAAGACAAAAGCTTACAAAAGAAATAAAAAATTGACTAATACATTAAAAAATATATACGTAATAAAAAGCAAAAACTTCAAAACAAATAAGAAAAGGCTAAAAATGAAAACTAAGAGACGGAAAGAAAAATTGAACTCTTGACTTCGTCGTAGTTTTGTATATCTGTCTCGAATTCCTCCTTACCCCTTTCATGTTTATATCAGGCTATGCAAACACGGAAAACGTCTTCTATTGCTTGAATATCATTGGTTGTAATTCTAAGGCCCCGTCCACTAATAAGTTTTCGTTTGAAAACGCATACATTTCGATGTGTCATGCCTTCCGTCCACACTACCGCGCTGAGCGTTTTTTTCGAAAACGTCTCGATTTGAAAATACTCTTGAAAGTGGATCATATCGAAAACGCATTCACATCGTATTTGAGAGGAAGGTCGAAAACAATAAAAACGCATCAAAATGAAATCGATGACCGAAATATCGCAGGTGCTTTTGTTTGTAGCATGCGGATACTTCGCGGATACTAGTGTTTTCGAGCGTTTTTGTGTGTACAGTCGGAAACGCATCGAAATGCTGGTAGCAGTGTGGACGCGAATCGATCGATGTATTAGTGTGGACAGGGCCGAAATAGGGAACGGCAACAGGAACGGCAAAAAAGGATTAGGCCGTTAGTAAAACAACAACTATGCACGCGAATCACGCTTTTTTTGTACATTTTTATGCTGTCACATGCAGCACCGCTACGACGTGCCGTAACTGCCAAATTTCACGTCTTGTGGAGAGCATGAACACAAGACAACGATGTTGTATGTTTTTCGTAACACAGAAACAGTCCTTTAGAATTCAACTCCAGAAAACTTCACCAACATTTGACAAACTGAACGACATGGAATAAGAGCAATGAACTTGGAAACAGCACCAATTCACTTTTCAAGAGACGTTTTTGCCACTTTCGTCGTCGCCCTCTTCCGTTAAGAAGATATGGGTAAAAAATCTCCGAATATGTCACACACGAAATGCTACATTCAAACAGGCATAAATCTTGGAAAGACTAGAGAGACTTCATGCATTGAATGGTTTCAATTTTTTATCATTGATAGCGTCACGGTGAAAGCCAGCAAAAGCTTGAAATTCTGTCATCAGAGTTTAAAATCTCTAAAATGTTTTCTAATAGTCATGATCAGGACATTTGTGCTGAACTTAAGCATGATATTGGGATCGATCAAGATCCCTTTTATTTTCTGATCAATAACAATCTGTCATCATCTGACTCAAGTATGATTACTAACACTATAATGGACAATATAATGTTGCTACCAAAATCAAAATTTGACATGATAATTTGAAAATTTCAACTTTTTGTTATGAAATTAAGAAACAAGGTCTCTCGGGAGTTTTTTGCTATAGATGAGAAAACAAAACAAAAAAAACTGTCGACGAAGAGCAACTTTCCTATTACAGCATGAATTCACACTGTCCCATAACAGTGTCATAATAAATGCTCAAATCGGGGCTGCTGGAGGCCATTCAGATTGGAGAATGTATTGTTGTTATAATTACAATATGTTTAGTAATTATCACCCTTTTACTTATAGAGTTGTATATAATGGAGATTTATATAACTTTTCTGTCTGTGGATGAAATCCTATGGTCGATGTCACCATTCAAAATAAACCTTCTTGGCTCCTCTTTCGCATGGTGCTATCTGTTTTTGGTATGTAACAAAATGGAATAATTTTTTTCTAAAAGTTCAAGCTCTCTTGATAGTGAAAGGGTTAAATAAACAGTTAGTAGCAAAATTATAGCTTCTTGCTTATCCATAAGCTCAAAGTTGTTGAGATTTTTAAGCGATACATGTAGATTACAGAAAATTCCTTTGAAAAAAAGAGGAGCATTGTTTCAAGAAGAAAAATACATATTAATAGTTTAATATATAATATTTCAAGAATTAACAACATAGTGAATAAGATTTTGCTGCTTAAGTAATAGCAATATTTTCAGGGGAAACTCCTTTTCCAAGAAGAATAATTTCTAGTTGTTTCTGCCCTTGTAGGATAATGTATGGCTAGAAATAAAACTTGTAAGTAGCAACTTGATTACGAATTTTTTGTTAACTTTCCGTATGATTTTAAGTCTGGATTATAATAAAATTCGAGCAATTTCTGGTTGTCTTTTTCTGCTGGCGTTTAATTTTTAAGTTCACCCGGATGAGTGTCTATTCACTTGTCTTTCTTGACCTCTTTCACGGTGTCTCACTCTCCTTCAAATCAGCGTCATTTCTAATAAAGGCTGGGTACTGGAACGAGGAGGAACTGTCGAGACTTGGGGAAATAACCAAAAAGGAATTCAATTGAAGGCCCGGGATATTGATCAGAGGGGAATAATTGCTTTACATCTCCTTCCCTCTTGGCCAAGTGTGAATCGTTAAATACTACCGAAATCAGCTATTAACTACCCGGTCGTCCGTGAACAAACGCACCCATTTCAAGCCAATTGAAACATTTCAGTATACACACTTCTCCCCTGGCCATGATGTTGACACGCATTAGGGCTCAAAAAGGCTTTATCAAGTGCAAAGGCAAAATTGCGGCTATTCATTTGGAATATGGGAAGGCTCGGCAACGAAGTTTAACCCCTTGAACTTTTATCCGGGCTTTTATACCATTTTTGAAAGAAAAGGTACCCCTTTCATATCCCTTTTATTGACAAATGGTTCGCCTTTCACAAGCCTAGTTTAGAACTTAAAATTTTCATCCCTTTTAACTGCTGTAAATGCACTGTCTCAAAAATATAAATAAATCACAAATGCAGGCGTTTTCTCGACTTTGTCACAGTCTTAAAAGCATCTGTTAGCTCTTTTGGGCCTTTTCACCGACCTGCCGGGCCTTACCGGGGGCACTAATGCATAAAAACCATAATACGTGTCACCCTGTCGTTTACTATTATCGAGCTGAACCCAACAAAAAAGGAGTTAACAGAAATATACAGCTCGTATCCTGTTATATTAAAAATTCGATTGGTCAGCTGTAGCTTGGTAAGCCATAAAATAGTAAAGCCTTCTTGTTGGCAATAAGCCTGTGTGGCAGGCGTTCGAAAGGGAAGGAAAACAGGAATCTGGGCACGGGGGCGCGCGAGGAAGGAGGGCACGTCCAGCTGTCACGCAGGCTAGTTGGCAATTCGCCTGTTTATTAATCACTATTATTAATTTACCGCAAAATGCATAGGTGCTCTATTAAAAAAAAAGTGATGTGCCTTATTCGAGGGCCAATTTCAATGCGTTTGTCACGAAAGTACTAGAATTGAGGACGTTTCTCTTTGATTTATATGTGTTCATTTCCATAGCCAGTGTACAGACGCCCCCTCTCGAAAAAAGAGAAAAACGATCGGGGAGAGAGCCTGGACTCTCCAATTTTTCCTAGGGAAGGGCGCTTCTTTACTGGCTATCATTAGTCGCTTGAAAAGTGAAATTGCGAGCTTGCAATCTCTATCCCGATTACTCAAACTCATATATTTTGTCAAATGCAAGCGAACTCTTTTTGAGCCAAATTTCAAGTTTAGAAAGAGAAAGAAAATTTAGCTGTCGTCTGTTTACTTTACGTCCTCCATTATACGTGAAATTAGGCATTTTCCCGTCGTAGTCGTGCAGTGACGGCAAAGAAATGTACAAGAAAAGTGTGATGCACGTGCAGAGTTGTTGTCAGTGCCTATTCAACCTCTAGGCTATTGCTTTTTTGACGTTCTCGTTGTCGTCGCCGTCGTGGCATCTTTAAGTCTCTCCCTATATTCCAATGAAGGTGACGGTGTACGTAACACTGAAACTTTGACCAATGCAACACGAGAATGTAAGAATAAGACAGGTCAACATCCAGGGTAGCTTCACGTCAGTTGTCATATCAACCATGTTTTTTTTGGTCCAAGTTTTCCGGTAAAGGCATATTTTTGCTGGCAACTTTCCCACATGAAACGTTCGTCTTTGTGTGGCTGTCAAAGAAAGAGATTGTAGAGCTGAAGAAATGAAACCCTTAAACACCTCAAGATCTCATCGACTCCTTGATTTTGTTCCATCCGTTAGGCCATCGTTTCTTTCTGTGATGCTAGTTTTTGTTTGCGGATGCCTCTGGGTGAAGAATACGACAATCAACGAACGACTTGTCGCGCTGGAATCTCGCATTCACTGTTTTTCCTGCGTTAAGAGTATTTCTATCGAAAGTCTTGACAAGATGACTCTCTCGCCGGCAAAAGATACCGCAAAAGATCTTTACAAGAATATGCAGACACATGTTTCAGAAGTTATCGCCTCTAATTCAGGTAAAATCGATGCTTTAGGTATAATTATCCTCTCTCATAGATGTCGTGCTTTGACTGAAATAAACCCCCGCTATTAGGGACTCTCGCTAAAGAGGACACTAACTCGAGGTTCCTATAGTGTCCGCTGTAAAGGTAGTTGACTGTAATTCGCCTTTTGAAACAAGAAACGATTGGCATTATCTTTAGCCGGGACATTTCCTCAATGCACCCCTCCCCCAACCCCTCTGTCCCCGGGAAAATATAGCATGACAGTATAACGTGACTGATATGATCCATCTAACCAGAAATTCCAAAAATTATTGTCGTTCGACGCTTATAAAATGTGACAGGGTCAATTTTGGTGTTTAAAATACTGTGCAATAACAGAAACTGCAAAGAAAATTAAGTTTCAGTTTTATTTCTGTCGGATATTGCATTTAAAGCCCTTCTAACTATCCAAGTGAATATGTATCTATTTGACGGGGCGATCTACAAATAGCATTCCTTTCTTGTAATCTTGAGGAGAGACTTTTCACACGCAGGGAGAGAATTCCATCAAGTTAAAGCTTTTCCGAGGGGACCATGGGAGGGCATTTTTTCTTTTAAGCTCCCGCGCAGGCTAACAACATCATCGACTACTGTATCTAGATAATCATTGGGCGTAGATGTAGGGGCAATAACTCCACGCAATTATTTTTGTTCGCTCCCATTCGACTTCCATTTCTGTTCGCCAGACGACCTTAAATGACCGGTCCCCTCTCCCCACATATCGGCCCCATTGAGGAGGGAGTAGGACGCGCAAAGCCTTGTGGAAAATCCATCCACCATTTTCTCTTTTTTTGACACAGTTTCGACCCATTTCTTGATTGGGCTTTGCCGACACGGGCAGCACAATTAATAACAACAAGAGTGCCTATTTTTTATGCCTTGTTCTTTTTTCTTTTCTTTCTTTCTCTTTTTATAACAAAAGCATTCCGACAAGCAGGTAAAAAGCGTCCTTAGCAGCGAGATAGCGGCGAGGAGCGAGGAAAGACACGCAGGCTAACAAGTGGCCGGATATTCTAAACTTGCTTAACCGCTTAGACCAATAGTTTCTCCTCTCTTCGTTCAGACAATCTTTAAGGAAAGGTTTCTTTTTCAAGTTTTCTTCTTGGCAGTATACCGTGAAGAAAATGAATTACTTCGCATTTCTTTTTGAATTGTTGTGATCATAAGGCCCCTTATCACTGTCTAGCATTGGAGTTAATGTTCTGGTGCATCAAAAAATTTCTCACGCGTTCGTAATGCTTTCTCGCGGGTCTTAATTACCAGTTTTCCTTCCCTTTCAGACGCCTACCGCGGGTTAGGTCTAACAGAAAATAATTTACTTTGAAGCTTTTTGGGTTGTTATTGTGAGATAGGAATATTGAATGATTGACGGCAAAGGATAAAGCTTCAAACGTTAGTGTGCTGTAAGGACCTGTAAGTGGGCCAAAACTTAGCCTAAGAGCGTCTGCGTGGGAGGCTTGTCACGGTATTGAGTGGAAAATGAGACTGTGTAATAGCGAGTAGGAAAAAAGACCACCCCACCCTGCTAAGGATACAATTGTAACTTAAGGAATGATGATGGGTAATAGAACGCACGAGGTCTGTTTTGTTGTGCGAGTCCGCCATATTGGTCTCGCCTTGTAGTTTTACAATGGGAAAATAGCGCCCACCTGTCCCCGGCCAGTAACAATAGGCTGGTAACAATACGCACAAGTTGAATCAAGAGAGAATGACCTACTCTTGCTTGAATACAGTAACTTGTTGTCTAAAACAGGATTGACAGTAAGAGGGGCAGTGATAACGCACAAATTTCCACAAGAACATTCTGAATGAAAAAATAAAGAAAAAGAAAAAGGAAAAAGGAAAAGAAGAAAGAGGATTGTTGACCTCGTTTGTACGTCCCCTATTTCTTTTGCTTCAATTCGTCGTAGGCACATCTCCCATAATACGTACACCTTGTTTGCCCCCCCTGGCTTTTAATTTCCCCTGGGTATTACAGTCGTTCCAAGAGAAATTGAAGACAATCTTTATCCAAAACATTTGGGGGGGCAAAGAAAGTGTACTTGTTGCACGTTTTACCGGCCCATGCGAGGCAAACTTGTTTTAAAGCAAATGACGTAACCTCCTTGTATGGCATCACTTCCGGATAATTTTATCCAATCAAGGGCCACTATTCAAGCAACTTAAAGAAACCTTGGTTTGTTAAAAGACAGAATTACAGTCAGACCAGGTCAAGCGTTCCCGTCGCTAACGAACTAATGAATTCATTCACGGAAAAATGATTTCGTTTGTTGATTCAATAATCCATTCATAAAATGAACAATCCAATATTCATATTTAGCCTCGATTCCATAATCGAATGTTGATTCGATTACTGTTTTTTGAAAAACTACACTTTCCACAAGTTGACCTCAGAATTTTGTTTTTTCCTCTTTTTTTTCTGAGAGTCGAGTGCTGGCGAGTCCTGAAGTTCAAACCCAAACAAACTGTTACATGTACGCCAGTTTGCTGCCAGTAATCAGTGCAACAAACCTAGGCCTGACCTCTTAGAAAACACAACGGCCAAACTAAGGTCAGTGTATGTGCGGTGATTGGTGGATTTCGATCCTCGGCCTTTGTCAGTTTCTCATAGTTTCTTTGCGTTTGCGGTCTGTCTATTCTAGCTGTTATTTTGATTATTAAAAGGCAATGAAAAACGCAATCGTAAACGGCAGGAAAAAGGAAGCAAATACGATTGAACACAACAGACAAGAATAAAGAACAGGTAGATTTTGTTCATAAACCAAATCAACATTTGATTATTGAATCGAGGTCCAATTTGACTGTTGGATTATTCATTTTATGAATGGATTATTGAATCAACAAACGAAATCATTTTTCCATTAATGAATTCATTAGTTTGTTAGCGACGGGAACGCTTGACCTGGTTTGACTGTAAACGTCGGTGGTAAAACGCGCAACATCGCTTTTAAAATCGTGTTGCAGCAATGTTTCGAAACAAGTTGTACGTTTTCTTGTTGCCCGTTTTACCGAAGCTTTATACCCGGTGTCTCTTTCCCGTAAACAGTTCCATTTATAGAAAGGGTCATGTCATTTCCACCTACGCTATGCTGGTGTCAGTAACTGACCTAATAACTTGGTTTAACTTTCGAAGAAACGTCCTAATACGTACAACCTTGTTAAAGTTATTGTTTATTAATCAAATCAGTTATTATAATTTACATGTAACATTTCTTACTGCAGTTGTATCGTTGTCAAAAATGGCATTTACAACTATCCTACCAAGAAACCGAAGACACGTTTTAAACGAAACTTCAGCTAGTATAACATTACAAGACGTGAGAAAAGAAATCACAAAACAGTTTCAACAACTTATGCCCCTCAAGTACTGTACATCAAGTGAGAAAGTATGCCCCGCAGGTCCCCCTGGACTTCCTGGTCCCACTGGGGCAAAAGGGCCACGTGGTAGGAGGGGACCAAAGGGGAAAAGGGGGCCTCAAGGTCCCATGGGACCACCTGGAAAATCCGGAAAAACAGGAATGATGGGTCCTGCAGGGCCGAAAGGAGAAAAGGGAGACAAGGGAGAGCCTGGGCCCAAAGGTATGCCGGGACCACCAGGAATACCTGGAAAATCGATATCTGCTCCACAAGTAATGTTGTCGCCGCCAGAACAGACACGAGATGAAGGAACAAATACGGCTTTTTATTGCACAATTGGAGGAAATCCTCCCCCTGCCGTCGAATGGCGATTCAAGGGTAGAAAGCTTCTGTCGGGTGCAAAGTATCTGATTAAAAAAGGAGAGTTGATCGTTAAGAATCTGAACTACAGCGATGCTGGGCAGTACAAATGTCACGCCAGGAACATTCTTGGATCGTCTGAGGCCACTTGTAATTTATCTGTTCGAGGTAAGCTCAGAGAATAATTGAAACTTCAGGATTTTTCATACTCAGCTGCTTAGTGATGAATATATTTATGTCTATAACGGGTGTTCACTGGGTAACACCCTTGTTTGAAACTTGGTGGTCATTTTTTCCTTTTTTCTTTCTTCCTTTTCTTCTGTTTATTTGTTTGTTTTGTTTTGTTTTTTTATTCATTTTTGTCTCACTTACAATAATTTGTACCAGCAATAATATAAAAGCTTCGTTGTCCAGATGCTCGCAATAGTTTTCTATTCGTTATACATATCATTTTCAGTATTCTTCTCTGTCAGGTCTTCCAGTGTTAACAAAAGTTCCACCTTCACCCGTCACGCCAATGCAACGCAGCACCTTTCAAGCAGTTTGTCAAGCTGAAGGATTCCCTCGTCCCGTTATAAGCTGGAGAAGAGTTGGAATGCCTTTTCTAGGTGGAAGAACTAAAGTAAACAGTGGTACACTAACCATTAAGAACTTGATTCTTGCTGACAGCGGTTTGTACGACTGCATCGCGACGAACGCGATGGGAACAAAGAAGACCAGAATCAACGTGGTAGTGCAAAGAAAACCCGGTAAGCTCTATATATTCAACACAAAAAGTTCTCGTGTTCTGTTAATGAACCTTAGATGTTCATTTTCATGTAGGAGCGTAAGACCTGTTTCAAACGTCGTGCTACTGCCGTGTTAAGCTGCCTCGACTGACGCTCGACTGCAGCACGACACTAGCACGACTCTGTTTCAGACGTCGAGTTTAATTCAGTCGAATAGAACGGCTGCTGCCGAAAACAAAACACAAAAATAAAGAAACGGTATAGAAAACTTTTAAATGTATTCTTATGTATTTATAGTTTATGAATTGAGTTCGGCACGGCGGTAGCACAACGTTTGAAACCAAGTCGAGCTACTGCCGTGTAGCACAGCAAAGCTTGCCCTGCTACACGGCAGTAGCACGACTTGGTTTCAAAGGTCGCGCTAGTCTACCGTGCTAAAGTCGAATTTAATTCGATCAATTTAGTTCGGCACTGCAGTAGCACGACGTTTGAAACGGGCCTAAGCCCGATATTAGTAAACAAAGTGGGTCTGATTTTTTTTTTTTTGATGTTACGCTGCTCCCGGAAATCTTCCGCTGAAACAACCGTGACCAAAAAAAGTCGTGCTCCATTTACTTTCCACCCGGATTTTCGGAAACGTTTTGTAAACAATAACCAAGCAAGTTTCAGCTATAAAAAATTTTCAACGTGGGCCTGCTGCCGAGCCATTCCTACCTTCTTGCGTTTTAATACCGTTGAAAAGTCAATATGCTTAATGTTCACATTATTCATCAGAGCTCAGTTTTAGTCTCAAAGAAAGGTTTTTTTCATCCATACTTTTGTTCTGATCACGTCATTGATT